TTAAAAGGAATGAAACAACTTTTAGGCATCATCCAATCAGAACACACGATATAATTGATGTGATTTAGTTTTTCAGTAGTTCCCATGAGAAAGCTAATAATAGAACTCCTAACGATTGTCGTGATTGGATAACGCATTAAATAAAGTTTGAAAAATGTTGTAATAGGCTCCATCTAAAACTACACTGACAACAACTAAAATTGACCTCAAAAGCTGACGAAATAATTATATTTATTTCAAGACCAGGTGATCTGACGGAAATCGATTAGCCAATCAGATTGGGAATCGCGTTTGCTGAAAAATAATCAATCTCAATAGACCTTATGTGGATCGGTAATAATCAAGAGCAAAACACATATAAGAATAGCACGTAAATACAACACATTTTTAAATCAAAAAAAGATTTATTGTTATTAAAAATAATAATATACGTACATACACGCTACTGCTAAATAGCAATTTGAGCATATTATCAAGTTTTCAATCATTTTCGAAACAAAAAGCTTGGTAAGGTTAACTTCGTTGGCAATATGAATTACAAAAAACGGATAAAATCTTACTTAAAATAAGTTTTTCTTGTAAAATGTTTCTTGTATATACTTGAAACATTACTAGATACTTCAAATGTGCAGCTGTGGCTTCTTTTCACCAATATTCCGCACTACATTTCAAGAGAATACATATTCAAAGACAACTCAAAACAAAATGGCGTCCTTCACGGCAATGTTTCGTCCAGGACTCTAGGCACGAAAAGTCAGAAAATCATACACTGCGCGCTTCCCGAGATCGACTGGATACATGGCCAAATAAGCGACATAAATTCGTTTAGAAATATTTTTAAATGGTTATTTGTTTGTTTTGTTTTGTTTTGTTTTTTGTTTTGCTAACCTTTCTGAAGTTCTCGATCTCTCCATTATTGATTATATTCTTCAAATATCGTCTTTTTATATATCCAAAACAGTGAAGTGGAACTGTGAAACTCGGTTAGTAAAATGATTCAAAACTTAGCGAAAAGTATCAACGGCCAAAGTACAGTTACCAACTCTATTACCGCGTAAAATTTAACGATATATTTATGTATATGCATTATTAACTACGGTAATATTGAAATATGCAAGTCTTCACTGATTTGATGCTCGGATCTCAAAATGGGAGATAATGATTAGATATGCATGCATTAATTATTTGCATATGTAATCAAATCTTACATGGAATCAAACCTTAAGACTCAAACATTCTTAAGAAGTTTTCAATTTGCTATGCTCTTTAAAACTATAAGATTTGCAACACATTTTATTAAATTTTAAGCAAAATTTTTGTTTGTCAGCTGAGCATGCAAAACCTCTATTGGTGGGTTGCAAGCATTCCCAAGAGAGTTAAATGACAAAAGCATGGCGGCCATTGTGGTGCCCTTAACAACGGATGCTAATAAGAAATCTCTTGTTAAATGGCACCAACATGGCCGCAATGACGTAACGTGTGCAATCGAAGAATATGCCGGCGAGCTGCCACGCATTAACCTTCTATTATGTATTAAGGATATGTATTTTCGACCAATCAAAATAACAAATGAATTGTATTGCTTAGAATGACCATCCAATGGAGGACACCTCACAAGTCGTAACAGCACAAACAGCTCCAACGCCAGAAACTGAAAAAACCTTTATGTAGACTTTCGCAAAGTCCGCCGACCGCTTTGTTTTTTCTTTACTGGCGCGCGACGGAACTCTCGCGACTTCGTCGCTCGCTCGCTGCACTCGCACGATTCGCGCTCCGCTCGAATCTAAAACAAAAAACCGGGAGACAAGAGAGGTCGACTTGGGGTAAGTCTAACCTTTAATTTTATGAAGAAACGGTAGATGAAAATTGATGATACATGTAATTGAGACGAACAACATTTTGACTCATGCAAACGTACACAAATGTTTTTCACTAAACCTGAAAAACTGTACAGTGTAATAAATGTGAAAGTAAGCTTAGATTTTTAAAAGGCCACATCTAAATAATAGTCATTCAGGTGATTGGGCAAAGGATTAACAAAAAAAACATATTTTGCTTTGCCAGATGGTCTATGACCTCGAAAAAAAACATCAACAAATATGGAACATTATAAAAAATTATGTTCTTGCTTGTCTAACACAGCCTTTTTGTTGTTTGCCTTTTTGAAAGCTTTGTCGCTTTTTGACGAAACATTTTATTGTATTTATAGGCCTAAACTGAACGCAGTAAGAATTGCTTGAGAGTAAGAAAGCCGTCTTCTGCCGCGGTGTCAGCCAAGAGTGAATTCGAAGCGCATGTGGAGGGACGAACTCGTTCAGCATAAGTCAAATCAAACGTTTACATTATTAAGTCACAACAAGGTAACCAATCAGAATACTTCTTATGCTATTTATTAAAGCACAATAGCCATATATTTCGGCATTTTTAATTTTCTTTGTAGTTCTTCAGCATGCAAATCTAACTACGCAGCTCGAGACAGCCGAGTCTTGACAGTCTTGACGCGATAAAACTCACCCTGCAAATACACCGCTTTTATAGATATCATACCATTGAGAGGAAGGATTAATTGTTAAATAGTAACGTCAAATCCTCAAAGAAATAGATGATGCAAAATATTTCAAAATGGTATCGTGCTGGATCGATGTATTTCCGGTTAATTACAAGGATAAAGGCTTCAGTTTCTGACGACCAATAATAGAGTCCTTTGGATAGTTTTAGATTACGGCAAACGTAAAGTGTCAAGCGTCAGTTGACCATTCAGGAAACTGAAATTCTTTAAAATTTGTGAAAAGGAATTGCAAAAATCTCCAAGTAGTAGATAAACAAAGGAAAGGTGATCTTCAGTAAACTGGAAAACCATAAAAACGTGGTCACGCTTGCCGTTTGCAGTAAGAAATAAACTTAAATCTATTTGGCATCAGGTAAACTGATTTAATTGTACTTCTCTTAACATCAGGTTTACCGCTAACTGCTAGGAATCAGGCCCTGAAACAAGCCCGAAAACACGGAAAAACTGAACATGGCGGCTCTTTCCGAAACATCTTCGTTGTCAGAAGCAGTTTGAGGTTTGCGGGGCTAGTAAGAACGTCGTGCTAAAGGTCTCTGTTTTTTGGAAGAAATCGTCAAGCCACCACCAGCTACAGGTCTATCCAAGAATGAGTTATAACTCCTTTAAATCGCCACTACTAATCGGCTTAATAATTCTTCTGCATTTCTGTGGATATGCATTATCAGACAAAGGTATGCTCAACAATTTTTATACTCATATAGGACTAAATCGCACGATCTCGAGTACGATTCGGAATTTATATAGGTACGAGTGATGTTTTGAAAGTTTTCAACATTGGACGAGCCTTTAGGAGAGTCCAATGTGAGAACTTTCAAACCAACAAGAGTATTTATCTATTCCCGATGGTACGAGAAGATCGTGTGATTAACTGATTTTTTGTTTATAATATACTCAAATTTTGCAAGGAACTTATTGGGACTTCTTGGCAATATAAGTACAATTTGGGATTTAATTGTACTCTTCTTGGGCAAGCAGAATCCGTACTGAGTTTTGTAAAGTGTGTTATTAGTATTAGTATTTCCGCCTTGTGAATTGTTCATGACCTTAGTTTCAGTTTAGTCGGTTACAACTTGTTTCAGCCGATTTAACTAAAAGTAATACAAACGCCCTGTTTTTACTGAAGGCTTCCCAAACGACTCGAACCAACTTGTTTTTTTTATCATGACTAGTCTTGACCAACATCAGCAATTTGCGGCTTTGATATTGAAAAATTACCTACTCGTTATTCATATGCAAGGAAAACTACACCATGCAAGTAGTATATTTCATTTGTTTATATACTGTATGATACTTCACAACGGGAAAAGGACCTCAAACTTGAAGAAGCGAAATGACATTTGCTTGAATCACAGCTTGTTGTACAACTTCCTCACGAAACTAAGTTCTTTCACGTCAAGCTTTCTAGAAATAAATATAACCGACAGTTGAATTACTGTCGTATGAGTCATTATCATTCAGGAAAACATAATATTTGGTCTAAAACGAAACATAAACCCCTGAAGGTCTCGAGTAATCTTGTTGTTATGTTTTTATCCACATGCTAAAACTGTGTGTTAGTTTTGTAACATGTTCAAATTTATCAACTGCTTCTTTTAGCATGAATCGAATTGAATTCATGTAATCTTCCTATTTTTTAACCCAAGATTAAAAAAGGATTGCTTTATCATGTTATCGTTGGTCCTGCTAAACTAACTTTCAAGGATTTGTTATGATTTCCTGTGGTATGAATTGTGGTTTTGATAATCATACATAAAGTCAAAAGTTCATTAGAACTTCAACAATATTTTCCTTCTTCGCTTTGAAATTGTCAGGTGATTAACCAAAAAGATGGAAAATTATTTTCAAAAATCTTCTAATGGTGAGCTGTTTTTCCACTTGAGCCTGCTATGAGATTTTTTGTTTGTTTTAAGAATCAATAAGGGAGGGTCGATATAGTGCTTGTTGGAGTCTCATTTGCATCTCATTTGCTTCTCATTTGCATGTATCAAAAGGAAACAATAAGGTCTCCAGTAACCCTTGCTAAATTGATTGGTTTTAGACTGATCCTGTTCTAAGAAGCGACGTACGTACATTTAGATAAAAAGAATATATGTATTTTAAGGACGGTGCCTGCTTTTGCTTGTGCAAACGCGCCGAAAGCAGAGTTTGTCACGCCGTTTTGTATGCTGTGTAACGCTTGTCACGCATTCGGTATAAGATTTATCCCTAATAATATTCTTTAAAAATTCGTATCTCTTAAAAACGCCTGGATACCCCTATTTTTTCTTCGTTTAAATGATAAAGTAAATGCTAAATTAGACTCGTGAAATAAAATGTATAAAAAATAATTGGTTTTGAAAATAATATGGACACAATCTCTATGCCAATGATCGAAAAATAGGGAGCACGAAGCTAAAAATTGATATATTTTTATAAAAATATAGCGAACTATCATACTCATGATAGTAGGGGTATACTAGTCAATAGTGTCAGTCATTTAAGACGATTTAAAATGGAAATTTATCAAAATGTTTTCCAAAAAAAAAAATAATAATAATTTTAGTGTTAGTAAAATAATGACGTCATCACTTTTTAACGATCTTTTAGCTTTTTTTATTATTTCTCTTAAATGCATGGTGGCCCCTACTTTTTTAACCAGAATTTAACAACTCTTTGATAGGTAAAAACAACCTACGTCGTCATTTAAAAAAATAATTCATTCTAAATTAGTAGGCACCGTCCTTAATCACACAGGCTGAAAGGATACAAAAATCCATTAACCATTTTCACATATCTTACGTTTACCAATTATCATCCTTAATGTACGGGACGAGGATTCTATATGGATTATTGTTTCGAATATTCAAATATTGTTCTGCTCATATTGTTTCAAAAAAGTTTAGTTCTCCATACGTGAAGTGCGTTGACTGTAAACAATTGAGCTCAGGTTAGTTTTGTGTTCATTTGTATGTGCACACCAAGATATTTTGCATGCTGAATAGGACAGAATAAGGTATTTGACGTACCAGGAATTGTGGTAAACCAGTTTTTTAATTTGCAGTAAACCAATAAATCATACTTTTAAATAATACAATGAAAATTTGTTGTTGAATATTTCATGTGACCAATGAAATAATTAAGGAAACTCCCTTGTTTTGCACTGCGCGTTTTTCTGCGCATGCAACTAGAAGCATGCAACTAACAAGTTTAGACATTTTTCTTTCGGAAACTAAATGAAAAACATATTCCAAACCGTTGGTTTTTTTTTTCCTTTCTTCCTAGCTCTTTTATGAGTAGAGAAATTGCGATTTTTATCTGACTAGCCCCAGTCTCCACTCGAAAATGTGTCAGTTTTCGACTATTTTGAGATGTTTTTTCAAGATAAAGTAAAAACGAGAATGGTGACCCCCAATTTTTACTTCAAATTTTTGATAAATGCGATGCATCTCATTATGTATCAAAATATGAAGAAAAGTTTATTGGATATATTTTGATTGGAATAATTGACATGTGCAAGACGCACATACCTGCATTTTTTACTAAAAGTTCAAATCATAGTGACCACAGTAAATCCGTGAAACTTTAGTAATACTAAATAACACAATTTCATGCAAATTCCATTGTTTTCTATTGTTTAACTAGCACTATTTTGTACTATTTAGTAATTAGTGTTTCACGGATTTACCGTGGTCACTCTAAGGCTAGTCATGCAACGACTTTGGTGGATTTAGTAGTATAGATTATCTAKTAAATTTCGAGTTATAAGTGCATAGAGAACAACATGAGATCAAGGTAAGTTTAATATTCTAATTTGAAAATTTTACGAGTTTTTCAGCATAAGACAGCACAGATGCATTGCTTGGGCTGCCGGTGTATAAACGAAATCACAAATTCATCTCGCCAAAACGGGCTAGGCTGGCTCGCCTCCATATAAACAGCCCCTTACGAATTCGAAAAATTCCTATGAGTAGTATAGGCCGCACCGCACGGGCCGGACTTTTGACGGGGAAGGGGACGGGGACGGACGTGGAAGGACGGAGACATGAATTATTCATCAAATATTAGCATAAAACGACGGGGAGATTATTTTTTCGGGTTACCATGACGACCAATTGACGTCATGAGTTTATTGTTAGGCAAGCGTTTTGGACGGGGCAAAAGGACGAGCAGGACGGGGACATTAATAATTCATCAAATATTAGCATAAAACGACGGGGAGAGTATTGTTTCGAGTTACCATGACGACCAATTGACGTCATGAGTTTATTATTAGGCAAGAGTTTTGGACGAGTAGGACGTGTACATTAATTATTCATCATTAAAAAGACGAACACATCCATTGTTTATCAAACCATTACCATAAAATGACGAGCAGGTATTGTTTCGGGTTGCCATTTCGTCATAAGACTATTGTCAGACAAGTTTGGACAGGTCAGGGGATGCTAACAGACCGCACTATTGAAAGGTTTTGTATTGTCCGTCATCATAGCTCAGTAGCGGATAGAGTGATGTCAATCCAACTGATGGGTTGAACAAATCCTTGATAACATCCTTCCATAATTCTTCATAAAAACAAACACCAAAGTTGAGGAATCGTCCAAGCCTACATATCATTTTATGAATTATAATTTAGTGACTATTGTGTCGAAGACAATACAATGAATGACTCATAAAGAAGAAACAATACACCTTTTGCTGTTCATTAACCGAAAAGGAATATTCATTGAAGCGAAGAAGCATTGTCATTAGAGCGAACAGGCATACAATAAGGCGAACGGAGTCTCAAGAGTGCGATCGAACGTTCATTAAGAAATTTAGCATTGAATTTGACAATCATGAATATGTTTGCATGGGTTCATTAACGTTTTCAAACTTTCATTAGCGTTTTGGTGCCGACAATAAAATACAACACACATTCAATACAGCGTTTTGGACATTTATTTACGCAATACAATATAAGTATATTTTCCACTAGGAATTGTAGGATTTTAACTGTCTTTTCATTTTTTTTACAAGCCCTGAATATGATTTGATACAAATTTTAGGTATAGGCGCCGTTAGGTATAAATATCAAGTCAGTTCTGAGTTTTTTAATCCCTCTTTTTTGGATATTGCATTGTCTCAGCAAAGAAACCAAATATTAAATGAAGTCAGATAGCGTCTTGTGAGGGCCTTTGAAGATCCACAGAAATGCATAAAATGGTACAACCACATGCAAA